TTCATGTATGGAGCAGTTCATGACCGCTATATCATACTTTAGACTCTGTATCAAATAAGCTAAGTTGTGAACAGTTAGGTTATTCATGGCACCCCGCCAGGCTAGGTCTGTTCTACAAGTCCAACCCTCCGTTGTCTGTCTTGAAGGAGAGTTGCAGTACTCAGACTTCTTAGCAGCCAGGAAGCCCCTTTGTGCCCCTGAGACCAGAGAGATCAGAGAGCACGGTTTAGGTCCAAAGCAAAGCACCAGACCACTCTTCCTTAAGCATCCCTCAAGCTTTTGTTTCTTTCTGTTGCTTGACATCTTCCCCTACTTCCTTCCCCATCTCGTCTTCCTTCCAGCCCTATAAGCAGTACAATACTCTGAATGCTGACACCACCCGAAACCTCATGATTTGCTTCCTGTGGATCATGAAAAATGCCGATCAGAGCCTCATTAGAAAATGGATTGCTGACCTGCCATCAATGCAATTAAATCGAATTTTAGACCTGCTTTTCATCTGTGTCTCCTGTTTTGAGTACAAGGTAAGTGTAGGGTATGTCAACTTCATGCCAGTTTTTATCTTTCAAGTTCCATTCTGTCTTGTTACTCTTCCCTTCTGTTTGCCTTATTAATTTTTCATATTTCTGTGTTCAAATTCATAGCTTACCTCCCTTTATAGAAATGATCATTCTACAGAGAAAGGATGTCTGCCTTCTACTGCAGGCCTTGTTCCTGTTAATGGTCTCAGCCACGGAATCCCGAGTGTCTCTGGGTAGTATGTGTCAAAACTGGCTGACATGACCGTGGAGTGATGAGTTGTGACAGTTCTTCCTATCCACAGTGATCTCACCAAAGTGACTGTCCCTTTGCCTGTATCCTGTCCAGGGAAAACCAAGTTCTGACAAGGTCAGCACTCAAGTCCTGCAGAAGTCAAGGGATGTCAAGGCCAGGCTGGAAGAGGCTCTACTCCGTGGGGAAGGGGCTAGAGGGGAGATGATGCGCCGCTGCAGGGCTCCAGGTGTGTTGGACCAGCCCTTCCCTGCTTTTTGTCAAGCAGTTCTGCAGCCTCTGTGGAAAGGAATGTCCTGTGTGGAAAGGAATTTCTTCCTGAAATCACTCTCTTGAGACATTTATGGAACCATCAAAGACAGCAAGTCTGGAATTCTGTGATTGGTGTATATAAGCCCTGAGCACCTAACACAAAGTTGCTATTCTAAGTCCAAAGACTTTGAAAATGTCCCCAAATGGCATAGGGTTTGTTGTTGGTGGTGATTGGTTTGTTTTGCAGTGCTGGATATTAAACCTAGAAGTTGCACATGTTAAACAGATACTCTACCACTGAGCTACATCCCCAGGTCCCAGGTGTCACGTTTTAATGAAAATGTGGTTGTGGGTGAAGGTCATGTACAAGAATGTTGAGTTATGGATGAGATAAAAAGTGCGTCCCTCGAGACTAAGGCCTTTCTAGAGACACTGGGAGCAGGATTACTCAGAGCGTTCCAGTCCTCCAAGGACCCGCCACACTGGGAATGACCCCCAAAGGCTGAGCTCATCACTACACTAGAGTGCAATGCCCAGGCACCCTTGATCTTTTTCCTTATTCACTGTGCTCTCAGTAAAACAGAGTGACAGCTTGTTCTATTCAATGAGATATAATGGCAGGGAAGCTGGAGGAAGCTCAAGTTTTTCAGTGGTGGTTGGCCACCTGTGCCCTCTTTGCCAATAATTCAGCGCAAACCTGCAGAGTTTTGCTGTAACCCCCTGTTTATGAGAAATGTGCTTCCTTACAGCCGGGATTCCTCTAAGACTCCAGCCATCAATCAAAGGGCAGACCAACCCACACATTGGCAGTAGCAGTTTTATCTCCTCCCAGTATCCTGCAGACTCCAATTAACTAGAGAAACGGTGCTGAGTCCTCCTTGGTTGAGCTTGTTACGGAAATTCTGGTTATCTTGGAGAGTTTCATGCTAATCAAATTCCTGTTGTGCATTTCTCAACTCCTAGGGAATGACCGATTTCCAGGCCTAAATGAAAATCTGAGATGGAGGAAAGAGCAGACACATTGGCGGCAAGCTAATGAGAAGCTAGATAAGTGAGTCACTCAGCATCTTTGTTCTGCTTTTATTTAAGGTCCAAAACTATTTTTCCCAGGCTACTTGTATTACTAAAACAACTGCATCCTTCCAAGGGTAAAAAAATGAAACATCTCTATCTGTATAAATACGGTTCATCCAAGGACCAAAGGTATAATGACTTATGATTTCCAATTCTAAAAACAATATCATATTGATAAGCATTTAAAGAAAAGTAATATTAAACAAACTTAGCTTAATTAAAGCAGCTGATGGAGAACAGGGAAATAGAGAAAAGAAGACAAGGTACCCAAGACCACATAATTTCAAATCTATATTTTCATTAAGGGTACAGTGATATATATATTCAGGGATATTTATGTATTACTGATATATGCATTACTTAGAAATTGTTTCTAAAATTAAAAACACAAATGCTCAAGAATATGGAAATAGGGGTGGGCGATTTAGCTCAGTGGTTTCTCTGCCTGCCTTGCAAGTGCAAGGACCCAAGTTCAATCCCCAGTACCACAAAAAAAAAAAAAGTTTTCTTTGGATGCTGGGAATATAGAGAATAGATATTTGCCTTTTTAGGTTTTATTATATTCCTTACAATAAAGTTGTATCATGATATCTTTTATAGTCAGATAATATATATACAAAGAA